TAGGTATTGACGGAACATATCTCAAAATAATAAAAACTATTTACGACAAACAACAGCCAATATCATACTGAATGGGCAAAAACTGGAAGCATTCCCTTCGAAATCTGGCACTCGACAAGGATGCCCTCTCTCACCACTCCTATTCAATATAGTATTGGAAGTTCTAGCCAGAGCAAACAGGCAAGAAAAAGAAATAAAGGATATTCGAATAGGAAAGGAGGAGGTGAAATTGTCTCTATTTGCAGATGACATGATTGTGTATCTAGAAGACCCCATCGTCTCAGCTTCAAATCTCCTGAAACTGATAAGCAACTTCAGCAAAGTCTCAGGATACAAAATCAATGTGCAAAAATCGCAAGCATTCCTATACACCAATCACAGACTTAAAGAGAGCCACATCAAGAATGAACTGCCATCACAATTGCTACAAAGAGAATAAAATACCTAGGAATACAACTAACAAGGAACATAAAGGAACTCTTCAAGGAGAACTACAAGCCACTGCTCAACGAAATAAGAGAGGACACAAACAGATGGAGAAACATTCCATGTTCATGGTTAGGAAGAATCAATATCGTGAAAATGGCCATACTGCCCAAAGTAATTTACAGATTCAACGCTATTCCCATCAAGCTACCAATGACCTTCTTCACAGAACTGGAAAAAACCACCTTAAACTTCATATGGAACAAAAATAGAGCCTGCATAGCCAAGTCAATTCTAAGCAAAAAGAACAAAGCTGAGGCATCACACTACCGGACTTCAAACTATACTACAAGGCTACAGTAATCAAAACAGCATGGTACTGGTACCAAAACAGAGATATAGACCAATGGAACAGAACAGAGGCCTCGGAGGCAACACAGCATATCTACAACCATCCGATCTTTGACAAACCTGAAAAAAACAAGCAATGGGGAAAGGATTCCCTGTTTAATAAATGGTGTTGGGAAAACTGGCTAGCCATGTGCAGAAAGCAGAAACTGGACCCCTTCCTGACGCCTTACACTAAAATTAACTTTAAATGGATTAAAGACTTAAACATAAGACCTAACACCATAAAAACCTTAGAAGAAAATCTAGGCAAAACCATTCTGGACATAGGCATAGGCAAGGACCTCATGTCCAAAACACCAAAAGCATTGGCAACAAAAGCCAAAATAGACAAATGGGACCTAATCAAACTCCACAGCTTCTGCACGGCAAAAGAAACACTCATTAGAGTGAATCGGCAATCAACAGAATGGGAAAAATTTTTTTCAGTCTACCCATCTGACAAAGGGCTGATATCCAGAATTTACAAAGAACTAAAACAGATCTACAAGAAAAAAACAAATAAGCTCATTCAAAAGTGGGCAAAGGATATATGAACAGACACTTTACAAAAGAAGACATACATGAGGCCAATAAACATATGAAAAAATGCTCATCATCACTGGTCATTAGAGAAATGCAAATCAAAACTACATTGAGATACCATCTCACGCCAGTTAGAATGGCGATCATTAAAACGTCTGGAGACAACAGATGCTGGAGAGGATGTGGAGAAATAGGAACACTTTTACACTGTTGGTGGGAGTGTAAATTAGTTCAACCATTGTGGAAGACAGTGTGGCGATTCCTTGAGGACCTAGAAATAGATATTCCATTTGACCGAGCCATCCCATTACTGGATATATATCCAAAGGATTATAAATCGTCTACTATAAGGACACATGCACACGAATGTTCATTGCAGCACTGTTTACAATAGCAAAGACTTGGAACTAACCCAAATGCCCATCGATGATAGACTGGACAGGGAAAATGTGGTACATATACACTATGGAATTATATGCAGCCATCAAAAATGATGAGTTTGTGTCCTTTGTAGGGACATGGATGAACCTGGAAACCATCATTCTCAGCAAACTGACACAAGAGCAGAAAATCAAACACCACATGTTCTCACTCATAGGCAGGTGTTGAACAATGAGAACACATGGACACAGGGAGGGGAGCACTACACACTGCAGTCTGTTGGGGGGAAACGGGGGAGGGACAACGGGGTGGGGTGGTGGGGAGATATAGCATGGGGAGAAATGCCAGATATAGGTGAAGGGGAGGAAGGCAGCCAATCACACTGCCATGTGTGTACCTATGCAACAATCTTGCATGTTCTCCACATGTACCCCAAAACCTAAAATGCAATAAAAAAATAAATTAATTAAAAAATTTTTTTAAAATTAAAAATTAAAATTACAATTAATTAAAAATTAAAAAGAAAATAATTATACAAAATTATATTACCTTTCTCAGTAAATATTAAGAGAGGCAACAATAATGAAATCAATAAAGACATTCATTGATCAACCTAAGTAACAAAATTGATCTAATGAAAGACCAAGATCCCTGAATTTAACATTTATAGACAGGCATTTTTTCAATATACATAGATTATTTAAAACTATTGATAATTTAGTGGCCATAAGGGGAATCTCCATTAATTTTAATGAACATATTTCATTATAAAACATGTCCTCTGATGACAATTTAATAAAAATAAATAACTAAAAATATCCCAGTATATTTGAGAATTAAGAAATAAATATTTTATTACTTTTTTAAAAAGCATCTTGTAATAAAATTGACTCTTTCTTCCTGTAGCATCACAGCTTTTTATTTAATACCTGGGTGGAATAATGTTATCACCATCATTGTGAAATACAAAACAGCTTAATCTCCCCCCAAAGTCTCCCTGTTCATCTCTCATAACTCCTGACAACCACTGACTGCTTCTGAGTTCCTACAGAATTGGCTTTTTAAGAATGTCATATAAATGGAATCACATAGTATGTAATCTCTTGAGGTTGACTTCTTTTACACAGCATAATGCTTTTAAGAGTCATCTAAAGTCTTATATATTTCAAAAGCACATTTCTTTTTATTGTTGACTAGTATTCTATTGTATGAATATACAAGCCACAATTTGTTTATCTGTCCTTGGAGGACATTCAGATTGTTCCTAGTTTTTGGCAATTATAAATAGTGAACATTTGTATAAAGGTTTTTGTGTAAACACAAATTTTCAACTCTTAGGGTAGATATCAGAAGATGGATTGCTGGGTTATATGGTAATTATGTTTGCCAGTCTAAGAAACTACCAAACACTTCCAGAAAGGTTGTACCACTTTGCATTCCTATCAGCAATATTTTGAGAGCTACAATTGTTTCATATCTTTGATAGTAGTTTATATTTTTAGTTTTTTTTTTTTTTTTTTTTTTTTAATTTCAGCCCTTCTAATGGCTGTGCAATGGAGTCTCACCGTGGTTTCATTTTACATATCTCTAATGGCTGTTAATGTTGAACCTCTTTGTTATCCTATTTCTTCTTTGCTGAAGTGGCTGCTCATGTCTTTTGCTAATTTTTAAATTAGATTGTTCATTTTCTTATTTTTGAGTTTTGAATATTCTTTACATACAGTAAATACCAATTCTTTGTGTATAAGTAAAATAAAAATATTTTCTTGCTGTTTAAAATTTTTAGCAGAGTTGTTCACAAGTGCAATAGTTTAGAAAAATTGGTGAAATTCAATTGATCCTTTTTATATTTTATGAGTACATTTGATTTTATGTCTAATAATCACCAAACTCAAGGTCACATAGATGTTCTCCCATGTCGTTTCAAAACATTTTCCATCTTTACAATTTACTTTTACATTTTTAAATTAATTTCTTTTATATTTTTGAGATAATTTCTATATAAAGTGTAAAGTTTAGAGTGAGATTCATTTCTTTGCCTATGGATGTCTACTTCTTCCAATATCCTTTGTTGAAAAGACTAGTCTTTATTCATGGAATGGCTGTTTTAACTTTATCAGATTAATCAGTCACATTTGTGTGGCTCTATTTCTATAATTGCTATTCTGTTTCTTTTATCTATGTGTTTATGCCTTCATCAATACCACACTGTGAATCTTGAGTATCTGAGACATATCTCAGTCAATTTATGAAGTTTATTTTGCCAGAGTTAAGGATGCATGCCTGTGACACAGTCTCAAGAGATCCTGACAACATGTGCCCAAGTTGGTCTGAGCACAGCTTCGTTTCATCCTTTTAGGGAGATATGAGACATCAATCAATATATGTAAGATGAACATTAGTTTGGCCTAGAAAGGAGGGACAACTTGAAGTGGGGAGGGAGCTTCCAGGTCATAGGTAGATAAGGGACAAATGGTTTTATTCTTTTGAGTTTTCAAATTACCTTTCCAAAGTAGGCAATTAGATAAGTATTTATATCTGAGAGCAGAGGGATGACTTTGAATAGAATTGGAGGCAGGTTTGCCCTAAGCAGCTCCCACCTTGAACTTGACTTTTCCCTTTAGCTTTGTGATTTTGGGGCCCCAAGATTCATTTTCTTTTCACAACACTGACTTGATTACTGCAGATTTTTAGTAAGTCTTAAAATGGGCAGTATGGTTTCTACAACTTTATTCTTATCTTTCTGAATTCATTTAGCTATTCTAGTTCTTTTGCCTTTCCTTATAAATTTAGAATCAGCTTGTCTATATCTGAAAAAAATTTCTGCTTAAATTTTGATAGATATTACATGAAACCCATAAAACATTTTGAAAAGAATTAGTAGCCTTTAACAAGTTGAGTCTTCCAATCAATTAAAATGGAAGGGCTCTTTATAGTTAGATATACATTTATTTCTTTCATAAGCATTTTGTAATTTTCAGCATCCAGATACCATACATGTTTGTTAGAATTATAACTACACATTTTTGGAGACTGTTGTTTATATGAAATTGTGTGATATTTCATTTTTTAAGTAATTTTCAGATTCTAATTTTACATAGGTAGTGCATAAAAATAAGATTGGTTGTCATATATTGACCTTGTACTTGAGAGCTAGCTAAACTGACTAGTTCTAGGAATTTGTTTCTTTATAGATTCTTTGGAATTTTCTTCATAGATAATCACGTTGTCTGTGAATGGGCAATTTTCTTTCTTTCTTTTCTCTTTCTTTCTTCCTTCCTTCTTTTCTTTTCTTTTCTTTTCTTTCTCTCTTTCTTTCTTTCTTTCTTTCTTTCTTTCTTTCTTT